TGCAGAATTCCGCGCTTTTAGCAAGAAGTGGGATTTTCGGCATCGGCTCATCAGCCCGTACCACAGCCAATCAAAGGGGTTGAGCGAGAAGTGAAGGAAGCGAAGAAAGTACTTACCAAAGCCAAGGAGACCCACGAGGATCCTTACATAATGCTGTTGGAGCGAAGAAACACGCCGTCTACCGAGATCGGAGTGGGTCCGATGCAGAACTAGAACGCTGCTACGGGCCGCTACGATGCTGCTACAGCCCGATAGCACCGGACGCTTCTGTGCACAACCGACTACGGAAGAGAATGCCAAAACCAAACTACGATCGGGGATCGAGATGCCTCCGACCCTTAGCTGTAGGAGAAAAAGTATGGGTGCAACCAATACCAGATTCGGCAGAACGTTTGCCGGAGGAGAGTGAACTGAGGCGGTCGCAGGAGTAGAAAGGAGCTACGAAGTCAGGATAGGGAGTCATATATCATTGGACTGGAGTCGGGTGCAAATTCGGAGAGCATCGTAATAAAACGAACTCCGCAGAGCGAAGATCGGCTAGCAGGTCATCCAGAAAGGGTACCTATATTCCACAGCCCGAGACAGCAAGCGCGACGTCGCAGCGGAAAACTCGTACTAGAACTTATTGACGAAAACATTAAAAAATGGAAAAAAAATATGATGGTAACTGAAAACTGGGGCGAAGTGGAATTCGCCTGCCGCTTGTGCGGTCTTTCAAAGGCGACTCGTACTGAGCAGCGACGAGTGAGTTTTCAAACCCCTCAGCTTATTGATACTGTTGCCTCAGACTTGAGGAATAGATCGGTGTTGTGTGCAGAGCCGGTTGAGAGCTTTTTCTGTGGAGCGGAAGCACCACACACGGAATGGGTAAAACCAGGCAACTAACAATTGGGTTTCCCATGTCCAATATGTTCTCTCCTATAAAAAACCACATCTGGTCCGGTTTAACACAACACTGGTGACGTGGCGGGAAGGTGACTCGTCCTACAAAACTAAAGTCACTGCCGTGTGGACATCGCGGATAATGGTACCTCCAACCCTAGAGGACATGGTTCGTTTATTTCATCAAATTCCTGATGATACCAAACATTCCATAGACAGCAACACACATAATGTCACATAGCTTCACAGCTATTAGACCGAATAATTTGGTTGGCTAGCCTCCGGTTTCCGATTTGCCTGTCACTATGGCCAGCCACAGGACGCCTGCGCCTACAGAGGGACCACTGGTGGCTTGCGCTGCACCACCCACAGCTCCAAACACACCCCCATATCCAGTGTAAACCCGAAGGAATAAGACCGGGAGGGCATGTGGATGGGAGCCACGTTTCATTAACGGAGCCGACCCATACTCCTTCACAGACAAAACCTAGCAAGCTGTATTTGGGAATCAGCGTGCACACAAGGCGGTGGCTGGACCGTAGTCCGCTCCACACTGAGTGCATGGAACCACTCTTTGATCCTAGCACGGCCACAAGGACCGTGCACCCCGTCCCCTCCATCAACGACCAACTGTCTCCTAGAGCCAGTATGGACGAGGTAGTGGGTAATAGACAGGTAGGCACCTTGTCAACATGCACATCAAGCGCAGCCACACCGGGGATATCAAGCAACAGCCAATCACTTGAGAGAAAGCTATCCAAGAAATAAATCGAGTAATGCATAAGGAAACGGTGACATAAATCTTAAATTAATGAGCATATGAATCAAGTTGTTTACAAACGAATCCGAGATAAGTTCACATGGTGAGAAAGTATATTTTACGGAAATGCCACAACATGAAAATGATATACAACTTATCTACTATTGGCTTAAGCGACGTGTGCAAGTTTAAAGAAGAGAGTACAGGTAGACATTTATAGGAAAAAGAAAAGCATTAGGACAAAATTGCAAACCCACCACCTGAAATAAAGAGACTTAGCATGCAAGCACGCGGTTAGTAAATCGAATGCAGCGTACCTACAAACGCTGCGCCGGTTCTGCTACGTTCTCTGCAGGACCCGTCGTCGCTTCGGTAGTGGTCCCGAGTGGCCTCGCTCATGGCTCACTAGGCCTGCCTGACTCAGGCACTCGCGACCGCAAGTGCTACAGCACTATGCGCTCGATGTCGATGGGGTACAACCCATCGGTGCTTGCCGCTTCCGCACTTGCCGCTTCTTCTCTGCATGCACGGAGTCTTTCTCCCCCACTTGGCAACTGCCTTCGTGATTAGATCACGCCATGAAACTCGATCAACCGCCTTCGATTCCCATGACCTGCAACCAACATAAGAACGCGAGGAGGCTCACTTTGATCATGTCCTGCTAACGAAGCTTCGGTTTCCCCACATGCAGCTTCCCCACACTCAGCTGACCGTATAACAGGTGCTTCGGTATTCGCGTCGAATCCATACGGCGCACATGACCGAGCCACCTCAGGTGTCTCAGCAAAAGTATGCAGTCCACTGCATACATCCCACTTCGGCGCAACACTTCCGTGTCCGCAACTCTGTCGCCCCAACCGATATGCAAAATCCGTCACAAACACTGCTGATGGAACCGCTCGAGATATCGCACATCCCGCTGGTAAATCGTCCACGTTTCACTGCAGTATAAAAGAACGGACAGAACCATGGATTTGTACACTATCAGCTTTGTGCCAATGCTAAGCTGATGGTTGTCCCACACTCGGTACTCAAGCTTCCAGAATGCCGACGTTGCACTCGACACGCGGATAAGCTGGGAGATAGTGGTACAGGTTGTTAAGAGGGGTAACTATAAGTAAATTGGAGAGGATGGAAGAGGGTGGTGGTTTCAATTGTATGATGATAATTGGGATGATAGGAGTAAAAAGATTGTGGGGATGTGGGGGATAAGAAGGGGTGTTGGGAGGGTTTGTGTGATGGTATGGTGGGGGAGGTGTGTGGGTGGGGGGAGCAGAAGATTGGGGGAAGAGGGCGATTGAATTAGATAGTGTAATGGGAGATTATATTAAGGAGGGGTTTTATTAGGATATGGGAGATGATGTATATTATGTATTGGGGGATATATGTATTGGGGGAGAAAAAGGGTTATAAATAATGATTGTAGGGAGAAATAAGTTATTAGTTGATATTAAGATGATTTTGATATTGTGGTTGAGGATGGGTTGTGTTGTGGTTTATGGATGTGAGTTTGTATAGAAGGGGAGGATATAAATGTTTAAAGATATAGATGAAGGGTGGGAGAGAAAGATAGATAAAAAGAATTAAAGGGGATTATGGATTGGTTTAAGTATTAATTTAAGTAATTATAATAATATGAAAAAGGTAGGTGATTTGAAGGTGTTTGATTATTTTTATTGTATTAGGGGGGGTGGGGTCGTTATTGGTATGTAGATGTATAAACAATATAAGCGGATACGTCGGTGGAGGACTGACAAGCTCATTTTTTACGCTATTACGCCTTTTTCATACACATACATGGTTGGCGACATCCGGTTTGGGATTTGCCTGTCACTGTGGCAAGCCACAGGACATACAGTGTTATATAAAACATGTATTTTTGTACGTTTCTGACCACACTTCGTTATGTTGACATGATCATGTCTGTAAAGGTGTGCCTCGCGTTATCGAGAATAAAACGTTGTTATTTATTTAAGATAAGCCCGCTCAAAATGGAGTGCAGAACCTGTTTTGTAAGACAATGTCCGGCGCCTGGTCCAGATAGGGGCGTAGAATGCTTGACAGAGCGTCTAACTGTAAAAGCAGGGAGGACACTTACTGCAGCAACCTACCTATAAATATACAGTAGGTAACTCTTGAAGATCGTGCTGAGTCATATAAGACATTGTGTGCATTGATGGTAGTATCGCAGCTTATTAGACCTGAAGAAATACCTAAACGACTGAGCAAACGTGTTCATCTTCATCCCAGATTGCGGTTCGTCTCTGGGAAGATAAATATCACTGCCATTGTACCCTTGTTAGATACCACGTTTCAGGTCGCATAGAAACGACTATCAATCGAACCAATAAAGAAGACTCCGAGTCTATCGGTCAGCTACTTTGAGGATCTTATTGGCCGCAATAGCGGAGCGCAAAGAAGCGGATAAACAACTGGACATCGATTGATTAATTTAATGTATTTAAACAACTGCTGCAAAGAATGAAGTGCAGGAATACAGGTTTTAACCAAAGATGAGCAACATTGAAGCTTTAAGAAATTGAACTGTGGAGGTAATTCAAATGGGTCTAAGGAAGAAAAGCAATAGAATTGACGAATAGTGACCAATAGATTAAAGATAACTCTTATCTTTTATGTACAGTTTATTTGTTGCCCGATTTTACATTATTCTTCCCTGTTTTAATCGACCTTACAACCGGCTCGACACTCGACAGCCTTATTAGTTCCCGCGACCACGTGTTCGCTCTCTTCTTGTTTCATCCATCTGCTTCTTATTGTAGCCCATCGAATACAGTCCGCTGTGTCCGACTCCGATTGCCTTCTGATATCCGCGCTTAATTTCGCGCACCGTATCGGACTAGTATTAACTAGTCCTACAAGATTAGAAACAACCATCGCGTTTTGTGCAGAAGCAACCAGATCGAAAAGATAAAATGATAATGAAGCTCAGATGAGAAATAATGCGATCCGGAAACGTGAGGCTCGGTGCAAGCCGATGACTCATGTTGTGAATGGAATTTATGGACCGGAATACACATACTAGGATCAAAAAGTCAGGCGCGAATAGAATAAGCGCACCGTGGATTCAGCCCTCCCATACAGTGTGGCGAGATTTGCTAAGTCGCCAAACGCAATCATAGTGAAATGTCTCTACAAACAGGTCCTATGGCATTTTAGTTCTCGGATGGCATCTTAGCTGAGTACTACGGATTACTCGCTAGATAATGTAGGAGCAGTACGTCATCAGAACATGGAGAAACCAGCATGGAATTAACAGCCCATGCGAAAAAATAAGCTCGGATGCACGGAGTGCTCTTTGGTGGATGCCCACTGACCTTTTCAAGATAGAAACAAATAATGAAAGAACATGGGTATAAAACGTATGTATGCATAACACGATGGTGACATATTTACAACTAAACACATGTACATCAGTGCAACTCTGTTTGGTACAAATCACAGAACGACCTCCAGCTCCGCGCCATTGACCAGTCGTTTGAGATCAGATTCGTTTCGTATCACAGTGTTTGGCAGTTTCCGGACCTTCTTGATTTGGGCTGGATCTATAGAAAACTCCTTCGCAAGTAGAGTACGGAACTCGGAGAAGTCACATGTTTCTAGGGGCAGTTCGAATTCAAAAAAGTCTTTATCATCCTGATCGGCAAGTCTGGCCTGAGAGAAAAAGTAAATTAAATGTCAATACGGGCAGACAAGTGACAAAAGCAACTCGGCAGTTGAGAGGAACAGAGATGCAGAGAATGGGGACGGTAGTTGGTTGATAAACGTAGGAGTCCTCAGTGAACAACTAATCAATTCGGCCATTCGGCTCAAAAATGACAAAGATAGAGCACAAAGTGACCAAATTCGCCACGAAATCGGGTTCGCAAAGCCAGAATTAATTTCATACAGGATTTTCTCTTCATAAACTTCAAAACAGCAAGAAGAAAAAACATTTCAACAGAATGATCTGGATTCAGATATTTCGTGTCTTCTAACCAGCTGTGCATAGACAATCTGTGGAATCAGTATGTTGCACACATGACAGCAAGACGGACATTTATTTAATGCTCTAAAACATTGCCATCCTTCAAGCAAATTTCCAATGAAAAACGAAACAGATAACACTTTCCATTTTTGAATGTGATTCTGAAAAGAAATCCAGATGGTACACTCACTCGATCGGGTGTACCACAAGACAACTTAGACGAGACAGGATCACAACTGCAACAGTTTCTAATCATCAACTATAAACGAGCACACGTACGCACCATTTTCGCAAGAACTAGTGAGAAATGATCCGAAGGGAACAATGAAAATGAGCTGCAACGTGTCTCAGTATCATTACGAGAGAACCGGTATCCCGAGAGGTTCATCGAATGCAACTCAAACGAAAAACAATCGAGAAACGCAAGACCAACGTTCCTAAGGAGGTATTCATTAAGCTACCATTCAAGGGGGACAAAAATGACAGGCAATTGCGATAGTGCCGCCTCCAGTCTATTAAGAAATGCTATTATGCGGCCGAGTTAGTACTACTCCACTAAGTTAAATAGTTGTTCTGCAAATCCGACCTGGACTGACCATAATCCAAAGTTACCGCCATCTGCATCTACCTTTCTTCATTGTACTTGCGGTAGCATTACGCGGGCCGAACTGAGAGGAAGCTGTACAGGTAGATTTCAGAACATGTAACACGTACCCTAAGCTGCCCGCAAGCTCCATCGCCCAGCATATGCTTGATTGACCTATGTGCAAACATCCGTGGGAGTCGTTCAGAATCCTTAGTCAACAGAGTATTGCTCGTCTGCACCACTTTGAAGAGGCTTCAGCGATAAGCCGGCTGAAACCGAATTTATTTAAGCAGATAGTTTGTGACTATCCTCGCCTTGCCCTAGTGAGGATATCGAATAGCTATATTTAAACAGAACGATTTAATACATTGTCTTGCCCTCGTGTGCGCAACATACTGACGCTACAGATTGTCTGTACACAGCTGATGAGAAGACACGAAACATTTGAAATCAGATTATTCCGTTGAAATTTTGTTTCTTCATACAATTTTGAGACCAGCGCTAAGCAAATATCCGGCATCAAAAGTGGAAACCGACTAATACACAATAGCACACAAACGTAAGACCTCACAAAATCGCGCAAGCCGAGTTCACTAAAGCTAAACCCCCGCTTCTCTCAAACACTCATCCCTTACGTAAACGCACATGTTCCGCAAGCCACTGCATACCGTTCTATGCAAAATCTACAATTATCGTCAGACTCGTGTATAATATAAAGGCTGTGTTCAATAGTTCAATAGTGTATGGTGGGATAAAAAGCAATAACTTTACAAGACCCACAGGATGGCAAATGGAAGAAAACAAAAGTTTCAGGTGTGACACGAAAATATCAGTAAGTTAGACACTGCAGTTTGTCATACCGTTATATAATGTGTATCATGTAAGTGCAAGTCCAATAGTCTTTCGAATGTCTCGATGTTTGGTGCGTTCACCACATGCGATGGCAGTGCGTTCCAGTGCGGACAGACACTAAGAGAGTAAAAAAAACTTTCTACAATCTAAACGGGAATATTGTGTCACAAGTATTAGTGCATGACCTCGGCATCGTTTGTCGGCAGATAATGTTAACAGCGACTTACATGGATGGTCCTCTTCTCTTAGTATCCGGTAAGTGAGGATCAGATCACCGCGAAGTCGTCGGTATTCTAAGGAGTACAGACCGATCGAACGAAGGCGCAGTTCATAACTAAGACCCGATAGACCACGTGTTGCCTTAGTGGCTCTTCTTTGTGGTTGCTCCAGGAGACGAATGTCCCGTTTTAACCACGGACGCCATGCCTGCACCGCATACTCCAGGTGGGGACGAATGTAGGCGTTAATCAATAATGGCACGAGTTGCCGCTCGAAGGTACCGAGCGCTCGCCTCAAAAGCCTCAAGTTTAAGTTCGTTATATTAGCTGCCTTTGAACATTGGAGCGAATTACCCAGACCTTCTTGCACGATGACCCCTAAGTCTCTTTCGTTGCTCACCTGTTTTATAACGCGCTGCCCCAGGTGATATGTGTTGCTGCAGTTATTGCGCAGCGACAACAGGTGACACTTTTCGGGGGTTCAGGGGTAGTTGGTTGTTTACTGCCCATTCGTGAATCCGGTTCAGGTCATCCTGCAGATAGACAGGGTCAGATGTTGACTGAATAGCTCGCCACATCTTAGCATCGTCGACGAATATTTGCATAGGTGATTGAATGTTGGCAGGGAGGTCGTTGATATAGACTAAAAAGAGTAACGGGCCGAGAACTGATCCTTGCGGTACGCCGCTAGTGACGCATAGGCTATCGGAGTGGGTGTTGACGATCCTTACCTCGATTCTTCTGTCGTATAAGTAACTTTCCAACCATGTGAGCAAGGATCCGTGGATACCATAGGCCGCAAGCTTTCGGAGAAGTGCTGGGTGATTGACTCTGTCGAATGCCTTGGAAAAGTCTAAGTAAATCACATCTACGGTAACTCCCTCGTCAGCAGCCCTGGTCCATGAGTCCCGAGCAAGTAGTAGATTGGTGAGGCAAGATCGTCCGCGTCTGAATCCATGTTGGAGGTTGGAGATGATTTGTAGACTTTCAAAATATCTCACCATTTCATCAGCGATTATAGACTCCATCACTTTTGATGGAACAGGAAGGAGAGTAATAGGTCGGTAGTTGGCAGGGTCTGACCGCTTACCTCCCTTGTATATCGGAGTGATAAGTCCACGTTTCCACTCAGACGGAAGTGCATGAGAATCAAATAGAAACTGGAAAAAGGTTGCAAGGTGGACTGCCATGGTGGGTGCAAGGGTTTTAAGTACTTTCGGACAGATCTTGTCAATTCCCGGCGCACTATTTTCCCTGAGCGACTGTAATTTCTTTGCCACAGATGTAGGGCTAAAGTTGACCGTGGATAAGCCGACGACATTTGCTGGGATGTACCAAGGCGATGGTTCCATGGTGTGTCTAGTCACTGAGACAAACTGCATGAGCAATGCGTCCGCGGTCTCCTCTTCAGTAACCGTTAGGCCATTGACCGTCTCTAGTGGTGGTATTCACGTCTTAACCTTCCTTTTGTCATTCACATACCGGTAGAGCAGTTTGTGATTGCTAGTAAATTTGCGTACCATAGTTTCCTGCCATTCGTACTTGTCAGCTTTAAGGAGTGAAGTGCAGCAGTTTCTGACTGTTTTGTAATGATTCCACGTGATATCACTTGGACCTAGCAAATGACCCCTCCAAGCCTCGTCTCGCCTATTCAACCACTTACGTGTTCTACTCCGGATCCAGTTGTTTCTCCGTCGCGAAACTCGTAATGGTACGTCTTTTGAAGCTGATTGTAGGACCCAGTTTATCTTGCCTTTCAACACTTGCCAGGCATCATTCGCCGAAGTGTGCATCTGGAGGTCCCAGTCAACGGTTGTCGCTATAGTGTGAAGCTTGGAATAGTTGGTGATGAATCGTCGGGTTTCTGGTTCTTTGTCAACCATACTGGAATAACACACATAATCAAACGTTAGAACTGAATGATCGCTACAACCTAGCGGGGGGTTGTATGAAACCGACTCAACCATTAACTCCTCATTAGTCAGGATTAAATCAAGTATTGAAGGCTTGTTTGAACCGCGATGTCTGGTTGGTTGATCCACATGGTTATACAAAACTGCCATAGTCAAGAACTCAAGGAGTTTTGATTTGAAGCATGGCACACTTGGGAACACAGATGCTATTGACGGTACATTGAAGTCACCCATTATTAGGTAGTGTGAGTACTTTTTCGACATAGCATATTGGAGAGCATTTAACAGAATATCATCGCTGTCGGCGGAGGAGTTCGGCGGCTTGTAGACTACTGCTATGAGGCAAGCATCATGTGTCTTCTTCTGGGGACAACCATCGGGACCGGATAGCTGCAGCCGGCAAAATAAGGCGTCGGGGATAATAAGGGAATGCTCAGTGAGAGCTTCACATTTCAGGTGATCTCGGTAGTAGATAGCAACGCCACCACCGCCAGATGGACGATCATTTCGAATGACTGACATTTCACTAAGTTCAATTTCTGGATCCAAAATCTCGTTTGAGAGCCAGGTTTCAGTTAATGCTACGATGTCCCAAGTTGCTGCTTCATGCCGATGGCGCAATTCCGGCAACTTGGAGTAAAGCCCTTGGGCGATTGTGTAGCAGCATTGCATTTGTTGCCGCATTAGGAGGTGGGTTCGCTGTGTTTGACCGGCACAAACAGTGCCGGTCTGCCCACGTTTTTTGACACGAGTGTTTGCACGCTTGGCTGGTCTATGGTCGGAAAAGCCAGGTCTGACTCAACTGTACCAGTGGTCTGTACTGCTTGCAGGAATGGTCTCAGTCGTACTTCTTGTGGTCCTAGCCTTCTGCTGTGGTACCACACGTTAATTGCCATTGATGCCATCTCCGGCGTAGCCAACGTAACTCAAAATTTTCGGCCCGCTCCCTTGATAATTTGGGGAGGAAGCTAAGCGGCTGACGTCGAACGCCACAACATTCTGCATACCATAGAGTTCTGTGATGTAGCGCCACTCATCAATATCGTGTTTTTGTCTTTCACTGGTGTCGCCATGTTTCAGTTCGGGCACACCATGAACCAACACCACTTTCTTCATTA